GGTTTTTTTTTCTCTCCAAAACCAATAACCACAATTTTACATTATCCAAGGTAGATAGTGACTAATAAAATAATTTTTTTTAATTTAGATTTATAGATATTTTAATCCACACTGAGATTCTAAATAGTTGTTCTCCTGAGGGTAATGGATAAAGAAAGTAGCATAATGAATAAGAGAAGAAAACATGTCAAATTAAATTCCAGTAATAACAGATAACTGATTTGTAATAAGACAGATCAAAGAAAAGGTGGGTAGCTATAGTTTTGGCCTTATTTCAAGGTTAGTTGCCATTTCCACAGCTGTTAATGATCTTCCAGATGACTTGCAGCAAAATATGTTTTGACATATTTTTAAAAGCTATTTCCCGACACTAAAAGCAAAATAAAAATAAATAAACATCTGATTATTTTTGCTCGACACAGCGTTGTTACTTCCTCCCTGGCCCAATCATATTTGAAGACTGATTTCATTATGATTTTTTAAGCAAAGTTAGTTGACTGCAACAGGATTAGATCCAGTTCCTGAATTTTCATTCAGCTCTATCACAGGTTTGTCCTGAGAAGGAACAGATTGGGAGAGGCAAAGATTACAGTACAGAAGACTCAGCATTTTGAAAAATTAATCATGGTTAAAAGTGGAAAATTCCAGTTCTATACAGTACTTCAAAACATGGTAGTTCAATTTGTACCTATATACTTACTTACTGAATACACATGTAAATAATTATGGTGGGGAGTCTACACTTAAAATCTAATATATATTTAAACAAACGTTTTAACGAGGCAACTGAACTTGGTATATACCAATTTAAGCATTTAACCTTCTAAGGCAACCTTTCCCTCCTTTTTCAGAAATCACTGGGAATCCTTCAGAATGCCGGTAGTCCTCAACTTATGACCACAACTGAGCCCCAACTTTCCATTGCTAAGCAAGACAGAGTTAATAGCTTTCTTGAAACAGTAGTAAATCGCTATTAAATTAATAACATGGTTGTTAAGTGAATCTGGCTTCCTCGTTGATTTTGCATGTCAGTTGTCCAGCATCCAAATTTTGATCATGTGACCAAGCGGATGCTGCAATAGTCCTAAGTGTAAAAAACAGTCATAAGTCACTTTTTTCAGTGCCGTTGTAACTTTGGTCACTAAATGAACGGCTGTAAGTGAAAATTTGTTCAGTGAGTTTTGCCCCGTTTTACGACTTTTCTTACCACCGTTGTTAAGTGAATCACTAAAGTTGTTAAGTTAGTAGCACGGTTGCTAAGTGAATCTGGCTTCCCCATTGACTTTGCTCGTCAGAAGGTCACAAAAAGTGATCACGTGACCCCAGGACACTGCAACCATCATAAATATGAATCAGTTCCCAAGCATCTGAATTTTTATCATGTGACCATGGGGCTGCTACAATGGTCATAAGTATGAAAAACAACCATAAGTCACTTTTTTCAATCCCATTGTAACTTCAAAAAGTCACTAAATGAACTGTTGTAAATTGAGGTCTGTATATCCATAATCTTCACTTATTCCAATAAGAAACCAGAATTCACAAGACCTTAGCCTACAGCTTATTATATATCTGGATTGTTATTTTGCAATTTCTTCCTACAATTTTTCAAGTTATGACAGTTATGCCATATAACAATGGGTTATTTTTGGCAACTACTATGACATGTTTTCCAGTGTGTGACTGCAAGCACAAGTATCATTATCTGTTCTGGTAGTAAATGTATAACATATTAAATCAGAAATTAAAAAATATATATTGGTATAATAAATTACAGAATGGAGAAAACAAAGTTAGGGGCAATCCTGCAATCTTTATCGGGAATCTGGAATCTACTAGAATGTTTCCTGGATTCAACGGGCAGCTGAGTAGCAGCTTTGGTTTTGCCACCACTACAAAATTTCATCGGAACGGGACTCCTGCTGCGGTTCACATGCCTAGGAAAAGTTTGGCAGGTGCTAGTCCCTGTGGTCCCTGGGCTGCTATTGATGTAAAGGTGCATATAAGGAGACCTCTTTACTCTAAGGCAGGGGTAGGCAACCTTGGCTCTTTTATGACTCGTGGACTTCAACTCCCAGAATTCCGAGTTGAAGTCCACGAGTCATAAAAGAGCCAAGGTTGCCTACCCCTATTCTAAGATAACATGTTTTACTTGATGTGATAAGGTTTGGGCAATGGAGGGCCAAAGAACCTCTGGAGTGCCCCCGAACCATTCCCTGGGACTGGCATAAGAGGACATACAGAAGAAACCTAGAGGTATAGAGTGATAGGTGCCACACTATGGATACCCAATAATTTACTGCTAGCTTTTCTGACTGGAATACGGGAAAGAAAAGAATGGGGATATCATCTCCTAGCTCCTGTATCATTTTTGCTGATTACAAACCCATTCACTTAACCCACCAACCAGTCAATGTTGCAACACAGCCTTAGCGCCGTAACTGAAGACTTGATTATCTCTGCTTTCCTTTCCTTCTCTTCACTTCTTTTTGTGGTTTTCCTAGTCTAAATTTTAAATCCACAATAAGGTCCTTAGGGCAGGGATTTGTGCTCTGCTTATTCTGTACTCATCAATACATCAAAGGCACAATATTATTTTTTCCTCTTATTGAACAAAAGCTAATTAATCATTTACAACTACAGGCTGTGCCATATCCATTGCATAGGAGATGTAATTTTCTCAAATATTCAATGCCTGGGGTTCCATGATAAAATCAAGAGGTGAAATATGGGCCTCTGAATCCATAGTTGAATGTCTCCGTTTTTTTGTTTGCCCTGAATGGCAGGTCAGCAAGCCCCAACACATCCGGGAGAGGCGGAGCTCAGTCAGCCCTGGGATATGAAGGGGTGTGGCCAAAGAAAATGTATGTTTCCTCCAAGGGAGAACTAGAATGATTTTCAGGAGCAACAGTGTGTATGATTGTGTGTGTGTGTATGTGTGTGTGTGTGTGTGTGTGTGTGTGTCTTTTGAGTCATTTAATTTCTTTTCTCTATAATAAATGCAGTGGAATGAAAGAGAAAAAAAACTGCCCTGTTTGGCATTTCTGTTGCCAAGAATTTTTCTCTTATGTGTTGTCCAATCTATTACAAATGCATAAATGCTGGTTCAAGACTTTAAAAAAAACCCAAAATGATAGCTTGTCCTCTCTGAGGATCTAGGGTTCCTCACTCCCCTTCCCCACCTGTACACGAATTCAACGTAAACTTGTTTCCTCTCATTTTAAAGATCTATCACTTCCATCAGCCACGAGAAGCTGAAAAATTGCTTTCGCAGTCGATCAGAAGTGAGGAATGTCCTATGGTACAGAAATTCCTGTGAAGCTCTTAGAAAAAAAACTATAAAAAGAGCCTAGACATTACAGCCATTTGATAAAAGAGAAATTAAACTTTGGTGAAGAAATATTCAACGTAATCAGCCTTTCTACCCCTCAGCCCAATGTCTTTTATCAGATGCAGAACTGCAAGAAAAGAGTTCATATATGACATTAATGGGGGGGGGGATGTATAAACAGCATTTATGTTTTTAAAATTTTGGTCTGCACTTTCCAGGTGGGTTGAGAGTAACAGGGGCATGTGTTCCTCCCCGTTTTTTTATAAAGAGAAAAAATATGTATGTAGCTGGTGTTTTCTCTGCTTCCTCCCCCACTAGCCTAGGATATCAATGCATATTAAGCTCAGCTTTCTGTGAGAACTGGACAATTTATAAATGCTATTCACGTTTAATTAGTAGTCATTTCTTCTCCATAAGCATATTTACTTGGGTCCTTTGTTCCTACGGCAACCCACTGAGAACTCCTGCTACAAGAACAGTCTAGACTAATCTTTTTTAAAGAAGGAAGAACAAGAAAAGAAAAAAAAAGGGGGGGGGAAGAAATGTAGATTAATAAGCAGGCTTGATATTAAGAGTATATTGCACAGAGCAAGTATTAAGAGACAGTGACAGAGGCATTATAAAGAACCTACAGCCAGAACTCTCTTATATCAAGAAGACTATTTATAGCAATTAAGGATTTTATTTATTCAGGTGTGCCTATAGTACATTGAAATGTGAAAGCGTACTCATTTAGTACTAAGTTCTCTTTAATTGGCCATCACTCAGGTAGAGTCTTTTTAAGGAAAATAATTGCAATTCATTGCTAACCCAGTTTAAAACAATTATCAGGGGAAAAGCTGAAAAATATTCCATGTGTTTCTGTATTTATGGATCCTCCCCTTACACACATATTTTAAAAAGAAGATGGGTCCATTTACATACAGCATTAAAGCCAATCTTATAGAAAACAATGGTATGAGTAAAGACGTTAAATTGTGCTTAAGGGATCTTTGTGATATGTGAAATTGTTGAGGTCTTTTGCCTTCAATCTTAAGAATATTTTGAACCAGCCATTTGAGTTAAACAACAGCTACTGTATGAATGTAGGAAATAATTTGTTCCAGATATTTTTCTGTTCAGATTTAATTTTAATACATTTTTAAAAAGTGCCTAAATATCATAATAAAATAAATAAAGGTAAAATAATCTCTCATGACAGAACCAAATGCCATTTTATGAACAAATCAAATATTTTACGATCGAGAAGCAATTTGCTATTTTAAAACTAAAATGACATGCGTATTTTCTCTTTTACTTTTTAAAAATAGTAACCATATATTTAAAAGTAGGTCAAGAGATGTGGAAGAAGGGCAGTTTGATGAGAGTAAACTGAAATATCTAAGATGGCTTCATTTTATAGAAAAGTGTTAAATGTCTTAATCTGATCTGCGTCTGTGTGCAGACCTCAAATTGTGAGGTTTTGACTTTTAGCTCCTATATTTTCATCATTTAAAAGCTTTAAAAAATGAATCTGTTGTCCTATTCTCTGGCTGCCATGGCAAATAGTAAACTTTATTTTGTTCTATTTAATATTTACTGATATTTTCAAGGAATAACGTGTATTTTTTCCCTGTTTTCTTTCTAATCAGCTTTCAATCTTTTTGCTCCTTTCTCTGATTCTACTCACCATTTATACTGCTAGGCAAATCCATAAACCTCTTTAGAACATCCTTCACCTGGAATGGCAGTGAGGAATAAGGTAATGTTAATTCAGCTACTTTTAACAATATAATTTCTCAATTGAAAACATTCATTCAAACTTCTTAGCTATTCCAGAGAGCTTTTATTTTAAGACTTGACCTTTATTTCAGGAAAGCTCGGTGTAGCTTTCCTTTCTTTTTAAAAGTACTGTGGAGTAAGATGTAAAAAACATTCTTTCACACACATTTTGTTACAGGCACTGGAACTTCATACACTAAATCTATATTTAGTCTGCATAGTATAGTAGCACACACTAGGAACTTTATTTTACAACACAAAAGAGTTCTGCTGCTACACATTTAATGAGGCAAATAAAAACATGGAGTTGTAAGCCCCTAGTTAAGTTGTGCTAAATGGCTTGCTGGACAAGAGAAGATTGTAGGTAATAGGAGAATTGACTAAATGTAGTATTTATTCCATCTGGAGTTTTTCTTTCATATGTTACATTTTTAGATGTAGACATGAACCAGGGCTATGAGATCTGGACTACAACTAGCGATCATCACTAAAGGACAACAAATGAAACATTGAGTGAAATGCATATAGTGACACTTGTCCAGAAAGCTAGAGTGGCAACAAATCAAAGTCACTTTGTTTGAAACCCCCAGTTTTCCTCTGCAAACTGTAATGTGCAGTCTTCAATTGGTGCAGTGTTTGATGGAAGAATAACAGAATAACAGAGTAATTAGAGTTAGAGGTATTCTAGTCCAACTCCCTATTCAAGGGATAAACCGAGTGTGAGCTTCCTATTTTCAGCTTTTCAATTCACTCAAGTCCTTAGGAATCTCTTTGTATAATTGCAAAAATGTATCACATAATATAGAAAATAAATCATTCACCCAAAGTTCCATCCTTCTAAACATGCAAAACCACAGAGTATTTTAGGAAAGGTAACAATTTTTTAAAGATATGGCAGCTACCACACACCCCTCCCCAACTATCTAAAAATATGTTTTAGGAAGAAATCAAGAAATGAATTGATCTCAGCCAATCACACCAAGAGGCGCTTATTTCCTATGCAACTTGTCACAGGAACATAGCAATCCTGCATGGACTTCTGGGCCTGTGAGATGTACATTTTAATACCAAAGAACACAACAACTTAAATGCCAGCCTCCAGATTTTATGAAAAAGCAATATAGGAGAGTAGATAGGGCAAATATCATCAAGGAGGGACATACCACAATAAAATCAAATAATATAACTAAATCCTACCCTAGGAGGCAGTATTTTACTGAAGTGTCCCTAGAGGGTATAGTTTTGGAATAAATAGTTAAATAACCAAAAACCATCATAAACAAAAGAATCTTTCCCATTTTTATACCAAAATAATATTAGTAACAAACAGGGATGTAGCTGTTCTAAACCCGCTCTCAATCTTTCCTGCAAAAGGAAAATTTTACATTAGGAGAAGCTTTCTGTGCCATTTTATGTATCGCAACACAGTTATGTTGCCTGGTCTCTTGAGATAATAATTAAATTACTCCCTCTATTAGTACCTTCCTCAGCTTTTTTTCCTTCCCATCCATATCTCATTTGATGGGGAATAATTAGGAGGAGGAGGAGGAGGAGGAGGAGACATATGGAAAATGATCCCTTGAAATTCCTCCTCAAGAATTGCAAGATTTGTATCCTTTCTTTTAAGTTAACCTCACAGACTGGCATTGTAATTTATGACCCTCTTGCAAAGTAAGATATAATTTGCCTGCCCTTCTGAAAATCAACATAGTCCTGCATTTGGTAATATCCCTCCCAACGCAACGATACCACTGATTTGTCATTGTCTGCATTCGAATCTGATGCACTCAGACTTTCCTAGGCACAGTTCATTAAGCTTTGCTCTTAAACAGAATGTATGAAGGAGAAAGAAAGAAAGAAAGAAAGAAAGAAAGGAAGGAAGGAAGGAAGGAAGGAAGGAAGGAAGGAAGGAAGGAAGGAAGGAAGGAAGGGAAGAAAGAGCAGGCAGGAGGGGAAAAATTGAGATTTGCAGATCTGATAATGAGCCCGTTAATGACATAAATGATACCTCAAGAACCTCACTAAACCATCCAGGTCCTACAATTTAATCTGTAATAAATACTCCCGCATCATTGTGAGATGGCTGCTCATAATGGCAAATGAAATATGCTGGTATGATAGGTACAATAAATCTGGATTTTCCTATGGTTCCCTCAGGCTAGAACAATATGTAACCAGAGTGCGCACTGTCAGGATGAGCAGATCTCAAAGCCATCATAAAATCTAAATGGGGACTAATTAGGAGGCCCTTCCCTTCTAGAGTTACTATTTCTATTGACATTTTCTATGCATGAGCCCCTCCATAACATCATAAGTCACCAAGATAAGAACTCCCTAGATTATAGGGAAAAAGCTTTAATGGAGAAGTTGAACTCAAAGGCGATGCATAAATTTTCCTTTTGATACCACGGGAAGTCTGTGTTCAGTACTTTCTTTACAAACTTTCATTCTTTGCTCTGGATGCTTCTTAATCTTGGGAGGACTTTCTACTATTCCCTTCTTCTTCTGCACAAAGGCATCATGGATATTATGGATTGTGTGGAACAGTTAGGATATTGTTTAATATTGTTTTAATTAGGGCTGTGAAGAGCTTCCACATTAAAGCAGGTTCAACCGCATCTTTTTGAATAGATTCTTTGAAACAATATGAGATTCTGAATCAAATCAGAGGCCTCTGAAATGCTTCAAGAGATCCCAAGGCAATTCAAAATTTAAATGGACTATCAGGTCTTCTAGAGCAGGCATGTCAAACCTGCAATTGAAACAGAAAGAATTTAGGACATGGTGTGCCCATGTGTATAGATGTCACTTTAGGAGGCATGTATGACAATCTCATGTTTACTTGTTTGTTCTGAGACCTTTTATGCCACTTCATCTGGAATTCACAGACCAGCCATCGGATAGCAAGGTTTTCCTAGATATCAAGATGCAGGCTCCATCTACAGAAATGATGGTCAGTGATGGGATTTCTTTACTTGTTGCTCTGTTGCTCCTCTGTCCTTTTTTGAAGGAAGAGGTGAGACAGAGTGATAACAGATCAGGAACCATTTATCCCAGGAAATCTTGTTGGAGAGGGATCCCATTTGGGCTGTGTTTTTCTCTCCAAAGAACAGCAACAAAATCCCACCGCAGTAGCCAGGCAAACTTCAAGTAGTCCTCGACTTACAACTCACAACTGAGCCCAAAATTTATGTTGCTAAGCAAGACAATTGTTAAGTGAGCTTTGCCCCATTTTATAACTTTTCTTCCCACAGTTGTTAAGTGAATCACTGCAGTTGTTAACTTAGTAACACGGTTGCTAAGTGAATTTGGCTTCCCCATTGACTTTGCTTGTCAGAAGGTTGCAAAAGGTGATCACATGGCCCCCCAGGCCATTGTAGCCATCACAAATACATGCCAGTTGCCAAACGTCTGAATTTTGATCACGTGGCCATGCGGATGCTACCACAGTTGAAGAGTGAGAAAGCATCATAAGTCACATTTTTCAGTGCCATTGTAACTTTGAACGGCCATCAAATGAATGGTTGTAAGTTAACTCCAACTTGGGTTCCCACACCATGATCTGTCTTTGGTAGATGAGCCTATTTATTTATTAAAGTATAGGTAGTCCTTGTCTTACAACAGCCAAGTTACTAACTTAATAATTTTAGTGATTCACTTAACAACTGTGACAAGTAAAGTTGTAAAATGGAGCAAAATTCACTTAACAAATGCTTCACTTAGCAACAGATATTTTGGGTTGAATTGTGGTCGTAAGTCGAGGACTATCTGTAAAGGGAAAATGGCGCTCTAGATCTCCCTGAACTACTGTTCCCAGTCTCCTCTAGCATTGCTCTGCTGTGAACTGTAGACTACAACTTCTGAAAACCCACAAGATGCCTACCTCTAATGTTTGAGAGAAAACATTCAGTGGAAGCCAGGAGGAAGGTTAAAAAGGAATCTTATTAGAAAGACTTTTTTTTATCCCACAAGATCAGATTTTCTGTCTGGTCTAAAAAATTTCATGTCAACACAAACAACATTTTCTCAGTTTGAAATCAATGAACACAATTTGGTATTAAATTTCAGCTCTGAAACATACAAAGGCCAAACTGAAACCATGAAGAGTTACAAATGAACAGAGCTTGGTGAGCCTTTAAAATATTTCTTTAGGTATATAAAGGTGTTAAATTAAGAAAAATAATCGGATAAAGAAAAAGGGAATGTAATACCCTTAAATGACACTTATTTTCACTCGTGGAGGAAGATCTAGTAATGTTAACTGACAGACCTCTCCTTAATCATGGAAGAAAATATCGTTCAAGTTCCATTCTTGTCATCTTATGTCAGGATGTGTTCAGGGTGGGCTAATCTTCCATTCTCAGAGTGGAATCTATTTTGAACATTGACAATTAAAAAAAAAAAGATCTAGAAAAATCTCGTGCCATGCAACATTTATTAGGGATCTCAAAGGTGTTCCCCCCCCCAAAAGGCAACTGGTCTTTGTTTTTCCTTTAAGATGTTTCACTTCTCATCCAAGAAGATGCTTCAGCTCAGAACTGAAAAATTCAAGGAAAAAACCCCCCAAAAATCCAGTTGCCTTTCAAAAAAACATCTTTAGGACAACCATGACCTGGATGACCAAGAATCTCCACAGACATCTTTTAGGGATGTGTCTGTCCATCCATCCATCCATCCATCCATCCATCCATCCATTCTCATGCAGGTTTTATAAATTCTACCATCCACCCCACATCCCTGAGACTGCCGGAGAATTGAACTTAAGGAAGACTGACTTCTAAACAGATATGTAATGCTAAAGATCTTTACTAAGAATCAAGCAGTTTAGTGGGATTTACTGCCAAGCAAAAGTTCGTAGCCAGCCTAACTCCCTGCAGACCTTCCATTTAACACTGAGGTCCCTCCCATAGGCTGGTGCTGGGTTAGATCAACCATGTGTCCATATTGCCATGATACT